CTTCAAAAATAGAATTACTAGTAAAGAAGTTCAAATATCTGTGATTAAGCAAAAATACAGATTGTTCATGAATATCATCATTATTTTTAAATGCATTCTTGATCCAAACAACATGAAAGAATATGGTTTTAGGTAATGAAATGTGAGGGGCAAATAATGGAGAGCAAAAGAACCTAGAGGAAATATTAACACTTTTATTCATGCAATCTTTTATTCTTGACTTTTTTAATTGTGAAAAAATGCTATACACATAATAAACAGTAAATATCTGTGTCACCTATAAATCTCTTCACTTTTTATAAAAATATTCAAAGTAACTTATGAGAAACCCCACTCTTGACCCTCCTACCCCAGGTAAGTGTTCAGTAAACTTCTTTTAGATTTTTTTCTGCACGGACCTAGCCACACAGCCTTTTGTTTAATAACAGATACGACTGTGGCATATTCCAAGTTGCCTTTGAACTTAATTATGTGTCAGAAGTGTCTATCCAGAATATATCAGCATTCTATTTTATAGAATGAAGGCACGATAATTTATTTAATTGTTTGCTTACTGAACAACACTTAGGTTGTTTTGTATTTTCTGCCATTTCATAAAATCCTTATACATATATCTGTTACTTATGTCATTATTTCCATAGGGTAGATTCTTAGGTGTCAGAATCCAAGCCACCTTCCCAAAAAGATTGTACCAATTTTCACTACAACAATTTTCCTCATAACTCTGCATATTGTTAACTTTTTAAAATGTGGACTATTTTAAAAATTTGTTTTAATTTCTATTTTCTCTTTCTTTTTTATTTTAATTTTTCCAACACCATTTATGCCCTGTTCCACCTCCACTCTCTGAATATCTTTGTATGTCATTTTTTTTGACATTTATATTTCTTTGTTTAAGTGCTAGATTAAATTATTTTCCTATTGGATAGCTTCTTGTTGTTTTGCAGAAGCTCTTTGCATAGTTGATGTATTTATTTTCTTCTCCTAATCTATCATTAGTCTTTTAACATTGTTTATGGTCTCTTCCTTTGCAGAACAGGAATTTTAATTTTTTATGTAGTTAAATATGTCAACCTTATCTGTGTGAGTCCTTCAATTTTTGCCTTGTTTAGGAAAACCTCTTCACCTCAGTCTCTAAAATACCATCACTATAAATATAGTAATGCTATCATTGTGTTACTTTAAATGTCTTTCTAAATCCACATAGAATTGATTTAACTCTGATTCTAATTAAATAATAAAATATAAGTAGAAATACTCTTCAAATACTTACAGAATAATGAAACCTGTGGGCAATAAATAGCTGAGGTTTAAAAAGAAAAATAGTTTTGACAAACCTGATTATCTTTTTTGATAAAAAAAAAAAAAATGCCGCCCTGGCCGGCTTGGCTCAATGGATAGAGTGTCAGCCTGCGGATTGAAGGGTCCCAGGTTCGATTCTGGCCAAGGGCACTTGCCTGGGTTGCGGGCTTGATCCCCAGTGGGGGGCGTGCAGGAAGCAGCCAATCAATTATTCTCTCCCATCATTGAGGTTTCTATCTCTCTCTCCTTCTCCCTTCTTCTCTGAAATCAATAAAGAAATATATTTTTTTAAAAATGCCACAAGTAAATGAATTGATCAGTGAAGACAAGATGTGTAATAAAGTTAGACCTTTGACATATGTTGGCTCTATAAACTTTCATAAAAAATTAATTCAAATTGGCTCTAAGGTGAAACTATCAGTCAACTGAATTGACATAAATTGGACCATAAACAACAGAAATAGTAATAATAATGATGTAACCAGCTATAGGAAGGAAGAAAACGATATCGTACAAAGATCACTGACAGATCCAGATTCACAAAGCTTTTACGTAAACAATCTAAAAGGAAGAAAAATAACATAATCATCAATTTAACAAATGTCACTGAACTGAAAAGTGCACTCCACGCATTCAGAAGCGCTATAATACAAGATTCTTCCGAAGGATGGAAACCCGGTGGGATATCCAAATCAGAATTGACTCTGAGCCAAAACACAGCCCTTCTTCTATCCATATACCAGTTAATTCAGTCAAATCAACACTTTGTAAAATCCATTCAGTTTGAGATAGCAGGGGGAGACGGAGCACTCCACAATCTGGCAGTCTGGGCATTCAGGAGAAGGGAGAAGCAAAGAGGGGTGTGGGTGCTGATGGCCTGGGAACATAAAAAGTTCCACAGCGATGGCCCCCACCCCCTGTGACATTCGAACATGGCCCAAGCAGTGAATTGCTGCCCCAATCTACCCGTACTTGAAAGTTATGACAGAAAAAGTAAATAAAATACAAACCAACAATGCTCATTAAAAGTGACTGCACTGGTTTAGATGAAACAGTCACAGAAGCATAATAAAGTGTTAACATGAAATCCACATACCACTTTAGTGTTTGCAAAATGCTCCCACACAGTCTCCTTTGATTAATACCCTGAGGCAGTAAGAGAAGCCATGATTAATAGATCCATTTTCCTCCTGAAGCTAAGTGGGATCAAGAAAATTGCCAAAGATTGCACAGCTCCTCTGCTGAGAACCTGTGATTCCTACAACACCGGCTCACACCTTTAAAAGCAATTTGCAAAGAAGAGCAATCAGGTTTAGGAATCTGTAAAAAATCATAATTCAAAAACTTCATTTTAAAAGAAAAAGCAAGTAAATACACTAAATGTATTCTTTGTCCTCAAAACTGGGTACCTACTTTTCCTCAGCCTTCCTTCCATCCTTGTATTTTCCCAGGACCCTTGTTCTCAAAACAGTGGGAATATGGGAAGCAACTCCAGGGAGTAAGAATACAGAGTGGGGCAAAAGTAGGCTTACACTCATGAGTACATGAAACAGAGTTTATTCTGGTGGTATTATGTATTAAGTATTGTATTATTTTCCATAAGAACAACTGTAAACTTACTTTTGCCTCATCTGTATTTAAGTACGTGGATTACAAAACAATCTTCTTGGAAACTCTCAACTTCTTATTCATGAGACAATGGGAGGGTTTTTTGTTTGTTTGTTTTCAGAAACACCTAAGGCCTAGAAGGCTCCCAAGTCATGTTTGGGATTAACTTTTAAAGTCGTCATGCCACGTGGTGATATCCATTTTCCACATGGGCATTACACTACAATAGACAGACAGCTGAGACCACTGTATGTAAATGATGGCCCCTTCGGGTAGCCTGAATAAAATACTTCATTAGAGGAATATTATTATTATGTTAAGGAACTCTTCTCATGATGCCTTATAGCTGTTGATTTCCTTTTTATAATACTTCCTTAACAACATGTAAATATAGCACCAATGTGAACAACTCAATCAGTATAGTTTTCAGCCAGATACAATAATAAATAAAATACAAGTTGAATGTTTCTCAAACATAAATTAAAAATGATTATGTCCAACAATACTGCCTTGCTAGAATAGATCAAATGACCTCATCAAAATTGTTTGAGAAGGCGTCAAACTTAGCCATGTTTAAATTTCAAAATTTAACTGTGAAAAACTCTCTAGCTAACCATCTGTTGATCTAGTTCCTCCTAAATATAATCAAATTTCTTTCAAACAGAAACTCTTGCATTGACAGAGTGAATGAGTCCAAATATTTGGTTTAATAGATCTTCACTTTAACTAATCAAATAAAATTAATCTTTCAACTGAAGTGAAGTTTACATTTGTCTGTTTGATCTACAATGTTTTTGAAGGATTTCACAATATTTTGTACACTACAAAAAGCATAGCTACTTTTATTGCCATTTCAAACAGCTGGCCTGAGTATATAATCATAGATGAAAAATGTCCTTAATTGGGATGTCATCTCTAAATTTTACTGGATTTCAGTCCTATTTATAAAAGGGAGCAAAGTTGCAAAAATACTCATATTACAGAAACATTTTAATTCCAAAAAGTGTTAGGTAGTCATGGTTCTAATATGTGCATTAAGTTTTTGGGAAATGATTTAGCTCCAGGTGGTGTTTAAGGCTCAGAAGGCCTAAGGAAGACATCCTCAAAGACTATGAGATGAGAGACTGTTAATTAAGTGGAGGGCTGTTGATAAAAATGGGGCAGACGATTTACTAACGTTGACTAGTAAAGTTCTATGAGGAACTAGGAGAATTTATGTTTCAACACACCATCATTTCACATAACTCTCCTTTCTACCATATGTGGTAAGCATCATCCACAAAAAGTGAATAAAGAGAACTGCTTTTACTGAAAATACCCTTGAAAGAGAAATCTGCTGGTGATTAAAGTATCTGAATAGTAATTCAGCACTTGGTTTTCACCAGCTAAATTCCTGAGCACACCGAGGTATTTATAAAGTTACTGTATCTTTTGCATAAAATGACTGGTTCAAATCCTATTTTAGAAATTAAACTGTGGTTTAATTTCTTCTATCAAATTAGGAATTTATGATAAATTAAAGAATCCTGTTTATCCTTAATCTCTAAGTAATAACTATATTTAAATCTATAGAAACTATATATGTAGATATAACATACTAACTCCTACTTATAAATATTAGCTTCCATGATTGTGTCTGACAGCTTGTAATGAATTTTCAGCTCATGTTTTGTGATGGTAATTGATTTATCACAAATAATTTTTTAGGAGTAAGATAGAGTATTTGCATGTTTCATATTCAGCTTTTCAGTATTGTTGTCATCCACCTCCACATCCTCCTCACTGCCAGGAGGTGGTGCTGTGGGTTTTAAATCGCAGAGCTGAAAATCCCAAAGCAGATCAAAGCCCTTTTTCAGTTTGTTTCTCCCTACATTCGTGGAAACCAGGCAAACCCTAAAAATGTTCAACAATTTTTCCTTGGGGAAAAAAAAATCGAATGTTTTCCAACATTCGATAAAGATAAGATTTGAAGGAGGAAACACGTAGAACAGAAAGAAGTTCATCAGCCCCTCGTGAGTGCAATTGAATGCAGAGCATTCCAGTTAATTATTCCAAACTCTTTTCACTAGCTTTCCTCTATCCCCATCCGCATGCCCTGCATTGTTCTCCGGGGTCTGAGCCATGCAGGGCAGGGGACAAGTTTTTCCACTTGCCTTCAAAGTCTCCATCATGTGAGAGACCCCGCGGGCGTCAGGTAAGCCCTTCGCTGGGGGACCCGCCCTCGAGCTTGCTGGGGCGCACAGTCGCGCTGAAAAGGCTGCTTCTTGGGGCGCTGAGGGCCTCTCTTCAGTCTGTTCAATCTGAAGCTCACTTGTCGCCAAACACGCGTGAGGATCAGCTCTTCTATTTAAAGTAGATAAAGATAAAAGAAAAACCTTTCCCCCCCCAAAACTTTTTATCAACAGGTTTTCACTTTTCCACGGCCGAAGTCCTTGGAATTGCCAAGCACTTCAAAGCCAAGGCAAAGCTGGGGCCTTCGGAGCCGGGCAGCTCCGGTCCCGCTTCCTTGGCCCCTGCGCTCTCGCAGCCCTCCTCCTCATGAGCCCCGCCGGTCCCCAAGACACACGTGCACCCATCGTTTCTCCCTGCAGTGAGCTTTGTAGGACCTGGCGAACTGAGTGAGAAAATACGACAAAACGACCCCAAAAGGCTGGAATTTCTCCGCCACCGCCACCGAGTTGACCCTGCCTTCCCAAACCCGGAGGGGGCGCAGGATGATAAACCTCGGCTGTGCAGGCTTCAGGCCGACACAAGTGCCACCAGACAACGCGGACTGGGCGGGGGACCGGGGAGGCAAATGCAAGTTCAAGGCCAGCAGGCCTCCTATCTCGGCTGAAGTGCGCTCTGGAGTGCCCGGGCCTGGAGAGCGGCGGGGCGCACCCT